TCCTCCCCGCGGCTCCTCGTGGGGTGGCGGCTCTGCCCCCTGCTCTGGCCTGGTGCAGCTCAGAGCACAGTGCCCCTCTCATGCAGGAGCCACCGCCTCCCTGCCCTGGCCTGGGGGCCGCGCCGTGTCGTGGCCGCCCTGGGCGCGCTCGTGCTGAACCCACCGTCCCCGTTTTGTCTTGTATTGATCCCGCAAGCTCAGTGGACGCGCTCCGTAACCCCGTCCAGTAGCGGGGCGCGAACCCTTGCCCTGTGGGAGAAGGCCCCTGTTCCCCAGAGGCGTCGAACAGGCCCGTGCGTGTCCCGCAGCCCGGCTGGGGAGCCGGGGGGCATCGTGCGGGGCGCTCTGCTTTGTGTCCGCCCTTGCGGCACTTGTTTTGAACCTAGGACCTCACTCCTATTCCTGCTTTCTCTTTCGTTTTCCCACAAAACCGATCAACTTATACCGAATAACGGGACGGGGGGCCGTAACCTTTGCTCCACGAGTGTTAAGCCCATGGTAACCCTATGTGTTAAATAGGCCTGGGTCACACAGTCCACTGGCTCCTTGGACTCATTTGGGGCCAGTGGGCACTACCCCGTGTACTCTGCTCCGTTCCCCCCTTTGGCGCACTCAGTCTGAACCTTTGACCATCGCTCCCATCCCTGTTTTGCCTTTTCTTTTCCCAATAAATGTGGTCTTATTTTCTGAGCAGCAGCCCTTTCCAAAGGAGGTTTATAGTTCTTGGTGGACAACGGCCCATGATCCCTTGACAGTAAAACAGTCCTGTGTCAAACAGTGGCAGAGAGGGAGGCTGAAAGTGGCAGTGAAGTACGCCTGACAAGAGGGTTTTTTTTCTGTTGTTCCTCTCTCATTTGCAGCCTCCAGCATTTAAGGTCTAGGAAGCTCTGATTCAAAGAGAGATATATGGGGGAGGGGGCAGTGGTAGGAGAGGAAAGTATTAAGTCCAGAGGAAGAAAGGGGTCACAAACTAATCCAGGGAATGTAATAAGAATCCGTGTCTGTATTGCACTTAGACCATACTAAAGGCACATAAAATGCCAGCATCTGCACCTTAAAACTTCTTAACTTGTACTAAATGCCCTCTGAGCATCTCAAAGTTATGCTATTGCAGATGCGGGTTATCTCTGGGCCATGCTACCTAGCTCATGTTAGGTAACTTCAGGCTCCTCCACAGAGATCAAATGAGCAATTTGTAGTCCTCCGGCATCCCAGGATGCAATGCACCCTAGCCTCCCCTCATACCCAGAGCAGAGATAAGGGCAGCCCTCATGTAGCAAGTCAGAGCTGCTCAGGCAAAAAATGGTGTTAACTAACCCTTGATATGCAGCCGTTCACAGCACGTTCTGACTCCAGTATCATTCAACATTAGTACGGTCTAAGTTTACTGTGTAACTTAAGTCAATGCATGATTGTATCCTGTCTTTTGGTGACTGGGCTGAGGAAGTATCACTAAGCCAGGAAAAGGCTAGATCATGCTAATCCTCTTTAAACTGTTGCATGTCACTCAGAGGGCGCTTCTACACGTGTATTAAGGTGCTTTTCCTAATGCACATTAAACTTAGCACCTCCAATGTGAGGTACTAAATTAATGTGCATTAGACTGCCTTAATGTGCAGTAGTGCCAGCGCATGCTTTTGAGGTGACACTTAATGCTCAGTAGCCTATTTTACTGCACATTATCATATTAGCACCTTTTTTACGCACCACTTTAATAATCAGTAAAATAGGCTATTTTGCATTAAAGTGTATGTGTAGACATACCCAGAAATATTTACTGAAGCCCTCCCTGTTTCCCCAAGGCCCTCATGTATATTGTGCAGTGTCATGGTTTCATAGGCTCAGAGTTATTTTTAGAATTTTTACAGATCCTTTAAAAAGTCTCTTTCTCCTTTCTTTTATCTCCTGCTTTATCCTCGGAAGGGATCTGGGTGTTTGGGAAAGATTGTACAAGTCTGAAATGAACAGTGACTTACGCTTAGAACATAAATGTAAGTTAAATTATACCTTACCTAAAATAGTCTTGTCTTCCTTCCCTGTTTTATTACTAACTTCAAATTATTCAAATTGAGCATCTTAAAAATCCAGTTTGATTTGTGCTCTCTGATTTTTGCATTTCACTCCTTCTGGACACTGAATCATAGAATTACAGAAAAGCAGAGTTGGAAGGGACCTCCAGAGGTCATCTAGTCCAACCCCTTGCATAAGGCAGGATCATCCTTATCCAAACCATCCTACACAAATCCATTGTCTAAACTGTTAGCAAAGTTATACAGTTAACCTTGACACAACCACAAGACATAACACTTTAACCTGCCACAGGGAAAGCATGGAGAACACAGGAAAGGGAAATGTCCAGCTTAATTCATTTCTAGTCAATTTCTCTTTGTGAGTCTCATGCACTAATACAGCCACGATGTACTAGGATTTTCAGACACAGACAAGGAATAGTCAAATTAAAAAGAATTGGGGCATAGTAGTGTCCCTTAAATGTTTTCTTTATTAAAACTATTTTAGATTTATTGCTTTTTAGTCTCTCTCTCTTACCAGGTACAGTGCCTTATCATACTTTGAGGGTGATGGTTTCTAATTATTTTGTCAGAAAATTGACAAGGAAAGTTTAGCATTTAAACCAGTGAGTTGTCTGGCAACACTTGTTGCAAAAACAAAAATCTCAGCATAAATCCATAGGAGTTAGGATTGGTCTACACTTGAAATTCAAAGCAGGTCGATTTGAGGTGTAATCTGTTTAAGTACCACATATCCACAAAGAGCCTTTCTTGTTCTGAATCAGATGGTGGTTGAACAGATGGAAAACCTGGAAGATGGAAAACCTGGAGGAAAAATTTACCCACAATGAAGTAAGTGTGGATGCTTCTTCATCTCATGGCAAGTGTTGCATGTCTTCCAAGACCTTCCACAATGTCCCATGCTGCCTTAACTAGCTGTCTGGATCACCTGCCCGCATGTCATCTATTCCTCTGACTGGATGGCCCCAGCAAATTTAAATTCTGGTACATAGCAAGACTTTATCCTTTGTAAGCCCAGCTCATAGGGAGTCCGGGTATATGTGTCATACTCCTAATTAGTCACTGCTTATGCCTTGCACAGATGCTTCTGTGAAGACGAGCTTTATTTTGTCCACCTGACCAATGGTAACACAGAACAGGTAATATAAACAATATGACAAATGCTGAGTAAGGAGCCAATAGGGGACAGTTTCCAATGTTGCATAAAGACAAAGGCGCTCCAGCTGGCCTGCATCAATGCTCAGTGCACCATGCCCTTAGAAAGAACTAGCAGTCTGCTGTCACCATAGGGACTTTGCTAGTCCAATATTCCACCAGCACCTTTTGCGTGGAACTTCTGGAGGCTGAAAAACAGATGCTGGATTTCTTCGAGACAAAGCCTTTTGTTCTATGATCCTACAGATGTGCAAGCCCATTGTCCCACTTTAAGTGCCTGTGAAGTACCTATGAAGTATCAAGATAACACTCCCCCCTAAATCACTGCTAATCTGAGTTACTTGCTATTCAGGCTCCCTGTGTCTTATGCTTGTTTTGATGCAAGGCGAAGCCTAGGAGCTGGGATAAACCCAACATCTATTTTTAGACTTAGTGACCCAGAAACTCCACATCTTATCAAACCAGTGAATCTGGTAAACCCAGAGCAGGACAGAGTGACAGAGCACCTGAACCCTCTCAAATCACAGGTGGGAGAGAAACCTGATACACAAGCAGAGACCAGAAATGATACCATTGCATGAATGAACCAGGGCATGGTTCTTAGACAGGCATGTTTATTGGAGCAACACATGCAGAAAAGAAAAAGCCAAGCATCATATTACCAGATCAAGTCCTAGATCCAGCAGAGATACCCTTGTAATCACTGGTCTGCCTGCTACAGAGGTACCCCACTGAGGTAGCCAAATCCCCTATCCCTGCAGCCAACCCAACATTATGTACTCCTTTTCCCATGTTGGCAGTTGTTCTGTGGATACCCCTTTACACCACAGATTCAATGGGTCTTACATATTTCTTCCTTAGCTTTCCCCCATAGTGCTAACATATAAAGGGACAGAAAGAGAAGATAGGAAAACAGAAATACAGACAATCTTGCTGGAGCACATGACATTCATAGTTTGCACAGCATTATGAAAGCGCCAGAGAGTACCTTCTAATACTAATATCTTTCAGCTTTGGGTATTGCTATGTATTGATTTAAAAAAATATTTTGAGATTTCTTTGCATTCATGGTTCTGAATCTTGAATTCTCTTGTAGCATCACTGTTCTGTCACCTGTGTTGGCAGAATATCATCAAAGCAAGTGCTAGATTACAAGTACTTTATTACAAACTATACATAAGGGATCAGAACTTGTGGCAGAGGTGATATCTTTTACTAAACCAACTAGATATTTGCCAAAAAAAAAATTGCCAAGCTGTCGGGCACACACACCCTTCTTCAGGCATAGGAGAATGCAAATATTGTAAAGTTTCTCCCAGGTGGAAATGAAAATTCATATTTCACAGGAAAGCTGAAATGGTTAGAATAGTTCATTTTGTGCAAATTAAGCTTAGATAAAAGTTAGAACAGTCTGTTTACCTCGAAGTTGTCTGATGGTAATTGACTATGTTTCCTTCTGGTTATGATGTTTCATATTACACAGGAATGTGGAGTGATGGATGCTCTCCTAGGCAAGGAATTTCTCTTGTGTTGAGGCAGCTTTGAGCTCTGTGAACATGCAGATTTAGCTAGAACAAAAGCAGGAGCCAGGGTGTCAGCTTTCAGGTTCCAAGGGAGTGAATTTTGCTTCATAAATTCATAGGTTCATAGATGTAGGGTCGGAGGGGACCTGAGCAGATCATCAAGTCCAACCCCCTGCCCTGGACAGGAATGAAAACTGGGCTCACATGACCCCCACTAA